CATGTATTTTAATTTATCGCCCACAGAAAATATGTTGCCATATATGGAATTTTGTTTCATTAAATAATATATATATGAGATGTCCTAAATTGTTTGTCAAAATTCAAAAATGGCAAAAGTAAAAATTATGGCACTTTACTTGATCAGGCCTACACTTTTAATAATATTCTACTATTACTACAATTATAGATTAGTAAATAGGAGTGAATAACAGAAGCACTGAACTTGACATGCAAAAATGCTCCTTTCCTCTTTCTTGGAAAGAGTTTGCATGTTTGTCTTCAAACTGTGCAAGAGAGGATTGGGAAATGTCATTACTGTAGAAGTAATGCTAGAGTCAGAAGAGAGAAACATAAAGAGAAATGAAACCAGTTAAATAGAAATTGGCAAATTTTCTTACCATTTTTTTTTGTAGATAGCCATGTGTGGAAAGGTATATGGACCATAAATCTTTTAATATAAATATAAAATTAATAATTTCTTACTGATTCTTTTTTCTTGTTTAAAAAGTGATATTAAATAATATGTTGAGATCAGAAGCTGGCATAAATAATACATTAATGGAATTGGAAATTATATAAATGGTAGCCATCTTCCATTCCATAAAAAAACAGAAAGTAAAAGGTGGCCTCTTTCCCCAAATGATGTAGTTTTATTCTTTCGATTGTAACCCATGTTATTACTATCTTTCCTATTGAGATCTTTTTTGTTTTGTTCATTTGACATTCAATATTTACTGAAGCTCTATTAAGACTGTCATTGACAACTGAAGACCCAGTCTTTATGCTTGAAGAATTCCCAGGTCTAGTGGAGGGAGATGGAAATATAGATGGAAAATACACTGCAATATGATAAATGCTAGAACAGAAGTACAGTTCATGATGAGTACTCCGGGATGCAGCCAAGGGGCAAAGCAGACTCTCAGGCTCTGCATCTTCAAGGAACCACAGACTCAATATGCCTTTCTACATTCCGCTAGAGAGTGTGGGATCATGGCAGTCATTTACAAAGGAAGTAAGATCCAAGGACACTTAAAGAGGAACGCGGAACATGCTGAACAGTTCTGAGGGCAAAAAGAGCAAGAGTAGAAAGAAATGAAAACACGCTGATAGAGACATATATTGCTGTAGATGACAGAACAGGTACCTAGAACTGTAAACACACACACAACCCAGGCTAGATTTTAGACAGGCGCACAGTGAGACTTCCCCAGGGTGATAGGACATCAAGGATTAGTACAGGCAGAGTGAAAAGACAAATGAGTATGTGTGTTCAGATTTCCTGGAATCTATACAGGGATCCCAATTTCCCTTCACATAAGTAGCACCATTGATGTAAGTAGAAAACAAAGGTTCCATTAAGGCTTATTATGTGATTTAGATACCCTGGTAGAGAATTTTTCTGCCAAAACTGTTTTAGTTGCTTATTTTAGGTGAAGTAGTAATAAGTAAGATCTTATAGCACATCTTATATTTTAGCTATATAGTCCAGAATCATCTACGGCAGAAAAAAAAAAAGTCTTATAAAATGTAGTAAAGGCCTCATGAAACATGCCAGTACCTCCTCAGACTTGTATCTGAAAACCAGGTAAACAGCAATGTCATTTGATTTTCCTTTTAAAAAAAAGTTCATATACATTAAATGTAGACAGTTTTTAGTAAATATTACCTGAAATAAGACATCCTTATTTTTAAAAGGCTTCATTTTGTTGGTTTACTTGGTTCTCAAATTTTCACATAAAAATTGGGGAATGGCAACTAAGTTTTTATAATCATATATCACCCTCAAATATGTCAAACATGATCTTAAAAAACAAGACACATTAATGTATTACTTTAAAAAGCAGCAGTCCAATTATTTACTCTTATAATATATTCAAGATAACATTTGCAATTGTTGGTGTCATCCCTACACACAGCGATAGTTTTCTTCTTGCTGTTTTCTGACTAGGAAACTCTTTAGTACATGAATGTATTATTAACAAACATTTTAGTAGAAATCCTATGTCAACAAAATCAACATCTCTGTCCTGGGAGCCTATTATTTCCTCAAATATTAACTAAATATGATTTTGTGATTTCAGTGGACACATTCAAAATATTCAGCATTTGGTACACCATTACCATCACCACCAGCACTGCACAAAACAACCTAGAATTGCATCTATTGCATGTAAAGAGTCTTCTATCCAATTTGTGCCACTTCTATGCTGTAATGAATGTAGAAAATATTTCCACTCATGGTTTTCAGTACTTATTACAGTGAATAAAACAGAAGTAAAGAAAAACCATGGAGAATAATCTTGTATTTATTCCCTTGACGACTTACAGGATAGTCTATTTTTCTATAGAAAATAGAAATCATTTATTAGTATCATATGTAAGTAGAATTTTTAAAGCCTTATTTTAAAACCTGGGATTACATGTTACCATATAAAGTAAAGACATTTTGGAATAAAATTAGGTATGAATGAGCAGCACGACTGTATGTAATTATTAACCTCTAACCTCGTGAATATCATTATATGGTAGTTTATTTGGAATGGCATTAAATAATTCTTTCATAAGATTTTCTATAGTGTTTATATAAAATATTTAAGATTTAATAAACTTTGCATAAATTTTACTAAATTAAGAGTCTGCAGATTTTCACATTCCTTTCCTATAACGCAGCAAAGCCAAAAAGATCTTCTTTAAAGGAGGTAAGGAATGCCGAATATATTTTATAAGAATTACTTCTAAATGCATCAGCTACAATTATGTCATCAGGAATTACTTATCCTTACCTTTCTGACTCAGAATACCTAAACAAATAAAGAACACACATTTAGAATAAAGAGAATACAGGCTGTGCAATTTTACTGATACAGCATATATTCTTCCCCTATTATACAAAGTTTTCCTAGTTCAGTTCTATTACCACGATAACGATTTTAACATAATCACTTATTTGTTTATGGAGCTATTCCTTTCTCATTTTGCCTGCTAATTAGCCAAAAGAAATAGATGTGCTCTCACGTGATTTGTACATCAAATGTCTAAAATCACTCATATTCTTACTCATTTACAAAACAAATGACTATCTAGTCCAACTTCTATAAATCCTAGCACTGTTTCAACCCACATCTCATGATCATGATCTGCAAAATCTTTGAAAATCATGCTTAATGTGCAAACAACTTTGTTTTTGTGCCTTGCTACCATTCACAATTAAAAGCTTCCAGAACTAGATTCACTTTCCTCTCCTCATCGGCAGTCAGTTTCGTGATAGAATTTTAAGCACTGGAAAAAAAAAAAAAAAAGATTCTCTACATTTTATTAAAACAGCAATAAAACAAACAAACAAATACTAGTTTCTGGTGTTAATTGTCTTATTAGCCAGCTTGTAGCATCACATTTTCTGTGTGTACTGTAGCTTCTTATTCTAGGGGACACTAATTAGTTTTAAATGGTGTTAAATACCATCCCTGCAGTTGCAAGTGCTTCTCTGGGATGTTTACTGGAGAAAAGAACTCCTGTAATTTAAAACCACTTTGTTTTCTTCAGCCACAGCTGTTAGTGAAACACTGACCTGTAGAAATCTTAAAGGTTTTCAACCCTCTCTCATTGTCATTAGTCTGCATTTATTTTCTAACACATCTTCTCCCCGTGTACCGTTGCTTTTCCATAATCCCCATCCCCCAAACTGCTTTCAGCAGAGAAACCGCATCTAGCTAGTTAAGCCCTTCTCTCCCTTTCCCTCCCACCCTGACCCCTTACAAAGCCTTGGCTACTCTTAAAGAAAATTCTCCAACAACGTGTCAATTTTATATTGGCCACAAAGACAACTTCTGTTGGGGAAGGGGGAGGAAAGAGGGACTGGAGCTTGGCTGTCCCTTTCCACAGACAGGGATCTTTGTGGCGATCAGAAAACATTTCCTGCATAAAAAATCAACACACTCTCTAGTTGCAGGGTTGGGGAGCGAGAACGAATACGTATCAGCCATGTCCTCAAAGGAATGGAACACATCCGTTAACCTTACAAACAGGAAAGTCATTTTCTCAAAATATGTCCTCTTTCTTGCATTATTAAACGTAATCCACAATCTGAAATCCTCTGGTAGCTCCCCCACTGGGGATTGGGTGAAAGCTATAAATCATTCCTGTACTTTTCTTTTTCCTCTGCATTTCCGTTGCACTATTTCTTCCATCTAGCTCATCTCTGACATGCTCCCACTCTCCTCGTGTGTATCAACAGGGGACCAAGGAGAGCAAAAATCACCCAAGAAGGCTGTCACGTTTTACAGGATCAGCCTGTGTTTTAATTCTACCCTTCACCCCTGCCTCCAAGTGGTTTCACAGCCAGGAGACCCCAGGGTTTGCACTTCCAGTGGGGTTTTGAAAGAGCAAGCACACGGGATTTATTGTGCAAAGCATTTTTTTTTAATTATAGGGCCTGTGGGGAAGCGGGACACCCTTGTTTTCAGGGGTCAGAAAGTCATTTGGTCCAAACAGGCTTGCTATTGAGTTTGTGTCATCTTTTCGTCCTGCTTCCCCAACTTGGGGCAGCACAACTAAAGGGGTCTTGGTTGAGACAGTGAGACAGAGAGGGCAAAGACCAGACGAAGTGAAGGGTACTTTTTACAGGGCTATAGCATCAGGTAGAAATCCTACAAATCCATTTCACAGGAGTGTGCATGAGAGAGAGTGCATGTGTATAAGTAGATCTCCCAAGGGGCTGCAGGCCAATAAAGACCCCCCACCTCACCAACTTCCATTGCAAACTGGCTCCACGTTTTGGATGAACTACCAGGGCATGCTGATGAGAGCTATCCCATCCTCACCACCCCATCTCTAAAAGTAGCTTAAAGGACCTTTATTAGTGAAGATCACAAACCAAATGACTCCAAAGATGATAGAGTTAAAAAGCAATGATTAAGTCCTTGTGTTGAAACCGCACATCTTAATACCATCTCCCAACAGCCCTCCCGCCTCATCTACCCCTCTCTTCTGGGCACTTACCTTCTTTGGGTGGTCGCTTGGCCTCCCTGGTAAGATTGCAGACCTGGGTGGTTTGCAGCTCCTGGGTCAGGCAGCCCTCGGTCTGCTCATTCAGGGGTAACACCACGTTATTTAACAAAACCAGTGACTGGTCGTCGATCCCCCACTCTCCCAAATGCTGAGGGCAGGTGCATTTTGTATACATAATCCCACATGATTCTGTTCTCCCATTTTCTGATTTTAAGCAGCTCTCCAGCCAAGTGCATAATACATGGCAACCAAACTGGCTCGGGCTCACCTTGTTCAATACCAAAAACTCAAAAAAGGATTTCTGATCTTCTTCCCCTTTTTTCTGTAATCCTGGGAAATTGGTTGGAAACACCCGACGTATTTGAATAAAATTTTTATCATACTGTAGAAAAACGAAAGCATTCTTGGAATCGCAGAGTTGCATTATAGAATGATTCTTTCTTAAAAGATCCTTTATTTTTTCATGGGAAAAATGATCAAACTGATAAGCCAAGAGGGAAAAGTTAGAGCAGCTAAGGTCCTTTTTGGAAAATTTCAGGTAAATGCTATATTTGGTTGGATCTGGATTTTCCAGCGTCCAAGTGCAGTTTGTAAAGTTTTTGGGAAACATTTCACTTACAGAATACGATCCATAAATGACTCCCTTCACCAAAGTTGAACACCAGAAGTCTTGGGCAGCATTAAATCCAAACATAACCAGGAGATAGGTGGAAAATATATAAATCAGCAGGTTACGAACAGCCTTCATCCTATGTCATTTGGCCTGTAAAAATGGCAATGAAAGTAAAATGCAAGTAGGAGTCTACGCGCATTGAAAAAAAGAAACTCCTTCCAATATTACAGCCAGCTGTTTTCAAGATTTCAGTAAAAAACCCTTTTTAAAAGAAGGGCAGGTAATTTTTTTATTTTATAACGCTAGGAAATTATCTGTTGCTGTGTGAACAGCGCCCTCACGCGGTCATTCACAAGGGCCAAATTCTCCACTTTCAATTTAAAAATAATATTTAATAGATGATTAACAGGAATGCTCTATTTATCTACCAGCATTTCCTCCAAGTGCATTATTAATCTATTGAAAGAAGAGGAAAGATATCTTTTTAAAATATCATAACCTAAATTTTAATTTTTGAAATATTTTTAAGCAACCTCTACGACATTTTCTCTCCCTCAGTCAGCCTGCAGTAAACATCATCACACAAAATCTAATCTGATAATCTGGGAACAGCTGTCATCACATTATTTCTCTTATCTTAAATATGAAAAATAATTTTGATAAAGGATAGCCACGATTTTAAAAACATGAATAATAATTTGTTGAGGATGAAACATCATCTCCCAGATGCCCATACTTGTCTTTGCAGGGACCACCGTGTCAACTGATGGGAATTCCTGTGCAGAAACACCAGTATTCATGTGGATTAAAGGAATTTTAAAACCATCATCTGAGAAGGGGTATAGATGGGTAGATACATGGGGAAGACTTGTTCAACATCACCACTGAGAACCAGGATTTAAGGCAGTCATTTCAATGTGACATGCCCTCTTGGGATACATAAAGTGGATCACTGTATTAGTATCTGTATCCAAAGGCAACGTCAGTGAAAAATCCCAGAACCACGGTAACTGAGCTGGCTTCAGTCTTTTATTTTATTTTTTTTAATTAGGACTATTTTATCTACAGTTATCTACTATAATTTAAGATTTACACATGGTAGATAAAAGACATTAGCATTTCCTTTCCTAGCAGATTTCAATTACTGAATTGCTCCCTTTCCAACAAGAGCTCCAAAGCTCCTTTTCTTTCTATTTTTTAACCTGGCCTTGCATAATAAAGTAATCCTTGGTTATATTTACCTCTGTAAGTTGTTATCCAAAAATAACTCGAATTTTTTTCAGCTTTAACCTTTAAGAAGTTATTTCTTAGAATAAATGACACTGCTTTTTTGTTTAGCCTTTGAGCTGAGAAAAGTGATGCCAAGTTAATTATAAAAGTCTTTAGGCTGCAGTCTCTTCCACTGTTCTGTAAACAGAGACAGACATACAGACATATAGACAGTTAAGAGTTTTCCAGTCTTTGCCTGGGTCCTCTCTGAACCAAAGGATAAAACCCTCTTCCTTCCCATTGCATAACACACACCAACGCATGCACACAAATACCAGTGACCGAAGTCCCTGAAGATAGATCTGCATTTTCCAGATCATAATTCAAATTCTATGTCTTGATATAGGAGAAAACAGCCCCAACTCTAAATCTCTATATAGCAGCAGTTTAAAATAACATCAGAACTGCTGGGACTATCAAAACAGCGTTCTCTGTTTCAAGCATACAGCTCAATGAATAATGCATTTTCTTCCTGAGAAAATAAAGCCAATGAGCATTTAAAGGTTAAAAAATTGGGAAAGTTGCAGGAAATTCTGGAAATAATTTCCTCTTTTTTTGCTCTAGCACTTTGCAGGCAATGCAGGTCTGCGCAGTGTTCTTCAGGATAGAGTGTAGGCGTTGAGAGCCAATGTGACAATAAGTGTCTAAATTAGGAATTCCATCCATGAAAGGGGGCTTCATTTTATAATAGGTAACTCAAAAAGAGGTCGTATTTCTTTTCCCAATGAAATCTGGTACTTTTGCTTCCATTTATTTGACAGTGCATGTCTGCATTGCTGTGCTCATCAAGAATTAGAAAGAGTAAGGAAATAGCTCCGATTTCACTTTCAAGCTTGCTCAAGAGAGCCCCCTCAATATAATATTCTTTATCTTAATCCTTAAGCCTTGGTGTACGGCGCCTTGTTTTTTTCTAAAGAATCAAAAATGAATCATTGAACTCTGCCGTCCCCCCAACCCCCGCCCCCGACTGCAGGGCCAGTTCAAACAATTGTATTTCCCTCTTCAAGAAAGAAAGAATGGAGTGGGGGTGTCTAAGGGATGGCTACCAAGGTCTCAAGGATGTTGTGTTTGTTTATTTATTTATTTATTTACTTATTTGTCTCCTACTGAGAAGCAAACCGGCATTTAGTTTAGCTATTCTCAAACTGATTTTCTGGGTGACACTTTAGTTTAGTCAAACATAGACGGCGCCATCACTCCACTAAAATTTTTTCCCCAATAGAAGACCCACTGCCTCCCCTTATCTTAACTTCCTTCTAACCTAAAAATTTCTCCCCATAAAATCACCCCAATCACACACAACCATCAGATTTTCTAGGTCTCCCTGCCTATTCCTTCTGACCCAGCACATCGCTTGAAAAACAGACTTCTCTAACTTTTCAACTGCGGCGTTTAAGTAAATGCAGACAGTCGGGTTTGCTCGCAGCCCCTCCATCCGCCAGCAACAGCCTTTCCTTTCCTTGTCCTCCCTCCGCAAACACCTAGACGGAGAGCTCCTCTGTGGCGACCCCTGGCAGAGGGAAGGTGACCCCTGGACCCCCCTTCCTTACCTTCCACTCCGAAAGCTCAGGGAGGCTCTTGCTCTAAGACACCAGCACAGGCACGCGTCCCAGCAACAGTGACGGAGAGACTCCCCTTCGGTCCCAATCACCGTTGCCCATTTTCCCCGGCTCAGCTTCAAAAATCAGGATTTATTTTTTTTTAATGCACACTTAAGAGAAGCAAAAGATGGGGGGGAAATCCAAGAGGGGAGCGTGGGAGAAAAAAGCCCCCAGGACCCCGGAGCCTGACGCCGAATCCAACTGAATCCAACCTCCAACCGAGGTGGCGGGTGGGGGGGGGGAGGAGAAAGCCCCCCGTAGAGAGCCTCTAAGGAAACAAACAAACAACAACAACAACAAAAAAATGCAAGTGGCTTAAAAGCGACGATTTGTTTTATCAAATCTACCCCCAACAAAACGATTAGCCAAGAAGCAAAGGAAGCGCTGAGACGAGAAGTGACCAGCGACAGCAGCGGCTGCTAAAGCAGATTTGTTGGGGCGGTGGGTTTTTTACAGGAGTATTCGTGGTCGGATCGGAAGGCTCAAGCTTATGCTTTTTCCTCTTTCCGCTTTCCTCCCTCCTCCTCCTCCCCCCCGCAGGTACTGATGGACGGACCGCGACTAAGGAGAGGGGGGAAAAAATCCTTGGCTGGTGATGTCGGAAAGCTGTTTGAATGCCCAGCGAGGAGGGGCGCGAGAGGGAGCGAGATAGTAAAGCTCTGTCTCGGGTGTGCGCGTCAGCGCGCGGCGCTCGCTCTCCCCGGGGCGCGCGCGAGGGAGGGGGCGCGCGTCCCCGGGGCGTGCGCCCGCGCGCCGGCCTCCCGCGCGCTCCTGCGCGTCCCCGGGCGCGCCCCGCGCTCCGCGTTAGCACCGGTGCGGTGCGCCAGGCGGCCGGTCCGAGGCTCGACGAGAGCCGCGCGGTAGCTGTGCCTTCTCGGAGTTCTGCCTCCCGAGGGCGCGGGCGGGTGTGTGTAAGAGGAGAGGAGGGAAGCGGCGGGGTGAGAAAGGAGGGAGGCCCGGCGGGAGGGCGGGAGACAGGCGGGCGGGAGGGGGGCTCCGCGGGGCTCCAGCCAGGGCCGCCGTGAGCCTGCACGTCACGGCTACTCAAAACCAAGCACGTCCCGAAAGCAGTATTTTCTGCGTCTGGGAGGTTTTTGCATCCTCAGTTCCCACCGCTGGGGCTGGCGGCGACCAACTGTAAGAGAAACTCACTGGGAGGCGAGGCAAGGGGGGTGCGGAAGACTGGAAGGCGACTCTGATGGGTGGGAAGTAAATACTGGACTTGGTCGTCTTTCTTTCTTTCAGCGCGGACCTGTCGCAGCCGAAGAGCTGTCATTTCATCACCGGGATTCAGATGAATTGATCCAGTCCTCAGCAGAGGGGGCACATCTCGGCTCCTGAAATGCTCCGTGTCTCTGGCTGGAACAATACTAGTTTTTCTCAGCGAGGCTGCAATTAACATCTTATTTGTTCTGGCTAGATACAGGCTTTGTCAGGACCGCGGTGCGGTGACCGAGGTTGGGCATCTTGCATTGCTTTCTGCATGGCAATGGGATCGTGGTTGTGGGTCTAAACTTTTGTTTTCTTAATGTATCTGATTCCTTTTCAAGTTTCCTTAGTAACAGGTTTGTGGACAAAGGTGGAAAAAAAAAAAAACGAGGGAAAGGGGGAGGAAAGGCTACCAGATTCTCTATTTAGCAGCAAAAAAAAAAAAAAGATAAATTTCCATCACTCCCCACATTTATTTATTTATTTATTTAGCCTCCTGGACCGTTGGCTGACAAGTATTTGATGAACTAGCTTCAGATACAATGCTGCAAAAGGTCGTTCGCCTACTGATTATGTCTCTACTTGTAAACGCAGTTGGTGGTTTGCAAAACAAGTGGCAAATAGTATGGTGTTATGGTGGGGAGACCACAATGGCTAATTCATATAACATGTTGGAGTCTTCCTAAGGGTGAGTGGCTTAAGCGTCAGGTGAAGTGGAATAAAACAAATTTCCATCCTTTTTTTCTCTGTACTCTTTCTGCATTTTTCTTCCTCTTGTTGTTCCTCTCCCCTGGGGCAGATGGAGAGTGAAGAACATCATTTTAAAAGAGGACTATAGTGAAAACAGAAAGGTGCCAAGGATCTTTTATTCACTGGAGTTGTTTGAAATATTAAAATTGGCCCTTTACTTCTTAATACATATTAATAGGGTGACCCTCTTCAAGGCTTTTTCTTCTAGGACAAGTGTTCAGAATAACATCCTGTAAGGGAAACTGTTAATCATTCTCCAACCAACAAGCTTTAAGCATGTTCCAGGAACATTCACTGGCTGAGAGAGCAGCCTGTGTGGCGATTTGGTTTCGTGTCATTTTTGGTTCATTACAATATTTTTTATTCATTTAAGGGAATGTGAAAGGAAAAAAAGGTTTATGTCTAGGGCATAATCCAAAACATTGTGTCGGAAGCAAACACGTTTTCTTTTAAAAACAAACAACATTCAGCAATACAAAAGAGAATCACCTTTCCTTTATTTCAACTTCCATAGAGATAATAATTATATTTGCAAGCCATTTTGGTTAGTTCTGTTATTTTGCCAGAAGCAAAAATAGAGATTGATGACAAATGCTAAAAAATGGAAAAAAGTAGAGGAAACAATGTGAGGTTTAGATATATATCTATCTTGCATCTAGTAATTTCTCACATTGTATCTTCAAACACTGTGATTTTGATGTTTCTTAGAAAATCTTAAAGTCATGACATAGTAACATAAGAATAACAGCTGAAGGGGACAATTTAAAAATACTTAATCCTAAATGGAAAGGAGTACTCATTCCTAGGGTCATTTATATTCAAGTAGAACACAGGGCTGGGTCAGGGAGAAAGCCACCCTTAATAAAGCACTTCACCCTTCACACTGTTTCTCATAACCTTCATAAATTGCAGGCTACTGAGCCAGCCTGATGATGATCCTGCTGAGGTGTATTTATAGCTGATGATTTGTGGATGATAAATATGCCAAGTAAGACACCATCTCTAGTAACCCCAGGCAGGTCTGACTTCCTCAGGGGGTCATAATCAAGAATCACAAAAAGAACCATATATGGAGAATCTGGTCTCTGAACCCTGACAACAGCACAATCCAAAGGCAAACCAAGGAAGAACCACCCCGATTCATGTCTACTATGTTCCATGTGGAAGCACTGCTGATATATTGACCCGACAATAAAAAGAGCAGCAGTTTACATACTGTAGGCTCTCTGTGTCCTTTCCTCTCTATTGAGATTGGTCTGTTTTTATGTTTTAATACATTTTAAAAATCACTATTTCAGATTATAATTATCAGCCTTCATTTGCCTCTCACAAGTGCCTGTTTTATATCTGTGTATATATGTCGGTATATATACAAACACAGACCCATATTTAACACATACACACATATATATGTGTGTATATATGCATACATTATATATAAAGTGCATACACATACATATATATAATATGTTCATATGTATTTCAGTTATTACACATGTATTTGGGAGCATGGTTTTACTAGGCTCCTTTTTACTTCTCTTTGGTAATAAAGTATTCTAACCCCAAAACTACCAGATTCATTGTACAAACTAATTTTCTTTTAAGTTTCCTTGCCAACTTTCGAAAGGACTATTAAGAAACCAGTGTCAACACATCAGAATATAAACTTGTATTTTAAATTGGCCCAGGCATGTAAAGTTAAAGTCTTTCAAATTTATCTCTCCTATTATTTATACATTTTTAAAGATTACTTCAGAGAAATGAGATTTCCAAGTATAATTATCTTTTTCTTCTATTGCTTTTTATTTTTTGCTGTTTAGTCGTTCTATCTTTGGAGAAAAAAAAAAAAAGAACCCCATCCTCCAGGATTATTGCTTAATTCAGTATACCCTGCACAATTCTCGGACTGAAATGATAAGAATATGCTTTAAATATGCTTACTTAGTCTTAGAAAGTGTTTTCTTCCCCTTCACCCCTTTCTCTCATAGTCCTTGTGGTATTACTTTATTACCACTTACAAATTTTAGAACTTTTCTTCAGTAAGGCTTTAAGAAGCACAAACAGGGATGCCTGTGTGGCTCAGTCTGTTAAATGCCCAACTCTTGAGCTCAGCTCAGGTCTTGATCTCAGGGTCATGAGATAAATAAAAAATAAATAAATAAAATTTAAAAATGTAAAAAAAGCACAAATAAGTTTGTAGATTATTCCTTTTCAATATGCTCAAATTTTTCAATACTTAATGTCTCCAGTACACACTCACACACACAAAGACTTTTGAAAACCACTAATTCCATAATAAAAGGAAATTAATGTAACAACTTCAGGGATATGAACCTTAACTATTACTTACTATAATGTACAATATATTAATATTTCATTAATATATAATAATATATTAATATGATATATTAATATATAATACTAATATATTAATATTTTTGTTAATAAAATGATCAAAATATTACATGATTAAATGGGTGAGTACTTACCTTTGCTTAAAATTAGCATATTTACTATGAACTGAAAGAACTTCTCCTTCTTATTCTTCCCTTATTCCTCTTCCTCCCCTTCTTCTTTCTTCTTATTATGAAATAAACTTCAGAACTCCGTAGGTTTTCCAGCTTTACCCTTCCTTCCTGGCTGCCACCTGCTAATGTAAAGGCAACCCATTACATTCTTACCCTTCCCTCACTGTGATCATTTTTTTTTCCTCTCAGAATGAGTTCCAACCCTACCAATAATGACGTCAAGAACTAAAGTTTTGAGGACCAGCATATCTGTTGACCTTAATCAACACCAGAGATTGAGGTCCGTTGATTACCTGTTATTTCTGAACTGTTGTGTCTCTCCAGCTCCGTTCCTTACCAATCCTGACTCATTCATTCCTACTATTTCTCTTCCCACCAGATTCTCCCACTGGGCCTTTTAGATCTCTTTGCTCTTCTATTCCAACACACCTTTATGCAGAATGTTCTCTCTGTATCTTCTGTTGACTAAAACCTGCTATTTTTTGAAGACATGGCTTCTCTTGCAACCATGTCAAGTGGAACATGCGTGTTTCTTCCATATTCTGAATAACTGAAGTTGATGGATGGATGGGATCAGTGTCCTTGCTATCTATTGCTGGCTTCGAATATTTACTTGTTATCTCAATTTTATATCCCTTTTTCTTGGAGGTTATGTGATTTTCCTTTGGCAGCCTCACCTCTGCCTCTCTGCTATCTTCATACTGACCTCTAAATTTTACTTTTTATTCATGCAGACCTTTAGCT